AGTTGTACAATGTGGGTGCACCATGGGAGAGAATAGCCATTGACGTGGCGGGGCCGTTTCCGGAGAGTGAAAGCGGTAACAAGTATTTCATGGTTGTGATGGATTACTTCACTAAGTGGCCAGAAGTCTTCGCCATTCCAAATCAAGAAGCTTCAACAGTTGCAGATAAACTAGTTCATGAAGTCTTCTGTCGTTTTGGAGTACCTTTAGAGATTCACAGCGATCAAGGAAGGAATTTTGAGTCTCAAATATTCCAGGAAACTTGCCGAGTTATGGGTACTCATAAAACAAGAACGACTTCTTATCACCCGCAATCTGATGGAATGGTGGAACGATTTAATCAGACATTGGAGAGGTACCTAGCAAAAGTTGTAGACAATCGGCAACGAGATTGGGACAAGCACATACAACCGTTTTTGTTGTCATATCGAAGTTCTGTTCACGAAAGTACAGCAGTGACACCAGCTTTCGCAAACTTTGGAAGAGAATTACGGCTGCCTGCGGACCTGATCACCGGGATACCACCTGATGCCCCACGCAGTATAACCGATTATGCAAATGACTTGCGGAACAAAATGAATGACATTTATAAGCACGTCAGACAATCGGGCCAGCAAATGTCTGAGAAAATGAAAACCCGGTACGACCGCAAAATGAACAATAAAGGGTTCAACGAAGGTTCATTAGTGTGGTTGCACAATCCAGTCCGCAGCAAAGGGAAATCTCCTAAGCTTCAAGCTAAATGGGACGGCCCGTACCGGATTGTAACCAGGATCAACGATGTGACCTACCGGATACAGAAAGGCGCAAGAGGGACTCCTAAGATCGTCCATGTGGATCGCTTGGCGCGTTATTATGGGACCGATAATGCTCGGGACGAGCATGTCTTAGGAGGGGGCAGTGTTGCATGAATAAGTCAACTAGCGCCATCTAGTGTCAGGAACGAGAGCGAGGGGAGTAGTGTTGATTTGGCGAAACAAGCGAAGCTTCGGAGCGGAATAAAGTGAATTAGTGTGTTTAATTATTAGTGTTTTTAACTTTAATTTGTGTAAAGTAAATTAAAGTGTTAATTTAGGTAATTTTATCGGCAATTTTTATTGTCACGAACCTCAAGCTCGTAACAATATGTTAATAACTAAAATCAAACTGCGTTTATCAAAAAGGTATCAAACAAGACTACAATGTCAATTTTTTTTTGACAATATTTTCTTATTTTCGACAGTATAAACATGTTAATTAATAAACCGATCTGTAAAATACGTGTCTCCAAAAGTAATATCTAGAGAAGGGAAATAAAATTTGAGTATAAACTAGACGTTATTTTAAATAATTAAGAGATCCGTCGCTTTGTATCGTTAATGTAGTAATAGACTATGGAAAATACCAGAAAGTCTTCATCATCAATGTCTTCCGATAGATGGTAGCTGTATATGTATATGTACGGGGTATAGCTATCCAGTTGACACCACACATATAAAATTTAGACCAGCTGCTGCGCTTACTTTGAGGGAAAAAATTACAAACACTCTATTCGTATATTCGTCACAAATCCGTCATGGTATTGGACTGGCCACATCTATTGGCGGCCCACTTACGGATGAATGAACTTATTAACTTCAGTATGGGGAACAATCTTTGAGTGTTGAACCAAAGGAGACGGTATCGCAAGGCGTAACCCTGAAAAAGGTATGAGAGTTCGACTCATAGTCGTTATATAAAAGTAGTCGATCCGCGTCGTGTATTGTCGATATTCCATGCGTTCGAACCTACCGGCTTACTTAGTCTTTTGTAATGCGTACACATAGTCTTTTGTACGCGACATCTACATTTATCCTTGATTAAATATGCATATACGTTGTCACCCCCGAGGGCTAAGATGGAATGTCTCGTATCCAGTAAAAAGGGTCTCCGGTTCTCTACACTCACCATACGAAGTACAACATTCTTAAGCTACTATTTTACTTTGCTATTCTGGGAGAACGCAATCCTTCCCCGGTCGAGTCGACCCACTTGTGTTACAACCTTAATACTAATATACAGCTGCAACGTGGCTCGACCACGTACTGAGGTGGTTATTCAGGTGAGATTGTAGTCATGCACTGACTTGATAAGTAAAAACTGAAGTGGCGAACTTTTTTATAGAATAAGGGTGAAAAACGAGTACACAGTCCACCTGGTGGTAAGTGGATGCTTTAGGCCATAGATATCCACATCTATCTTCGATTAAGAATCAAAATGCAGATGCATGGCGTCTTTAAGGCAAGAGTTAATAGGTTTCAGTTATGTCAGGACAGTGCAGTTTATCATCTAGGTGGTTATCCAGGTGGGATTGTATACAAGTACAGGTTTGATACGTAAAAAAAACTGAACAACGACAAACGACGTGGCAAACGAACTTACAGGCCGTCTAATGGGTAAGTGGAAACTGCAAACAGCGGTTCATGAACACATCCAACCAACTTCAAGCAAGGGAGGCTAGCTGCAGATGCATTATCACATCTGAGGACGAGATGGAATACCTCACAGCCTGTATTAATACTAACTTCCGCCTTCAGCCTTCAACCGGAACAAAACAGTCCGTTAGCACTTAGCACAGTTATTGTGCTTTGTTCTTATTTTTTACCTACCCAGAGCATACCAGGAGTAATATACTACTAATATACTACATAGAATACTATAATACATATATACATACGTAATAGAACGGGGGAGTGGGCGAGGCCGTATAGCCACTACAATGTCACTAACATGTCAATTCACACGCCTATAATGTGTAAATTTACTCAGACAACACAGCGCATCGGATTTGTAGCAGTGATAATACGACGCAATGGAGAAGATAACCATTTTTTGTTTTATATGCCAAAAAATTCTACAAAAAATTATGAGAATAACTGTGTTTTTAAATTTTTTCTATCTTCAAAACTGACCGAGATATAAAGGCGCAAAGTTAACATTTTCGATCTAAGCCGCGGGCCGAGCGCGACATCGTTGATGACGTCACAAGTTCCATCTTCGTGCGAGCGACCCGACACGCACTTAGAAAATCAAAACATTTACTCGAATGTGCCCGTCGTATACGGATCTATCTATCTATTTTTAACAAGAAACATTATAGTAGAACATGACACCATCTATTAAATATTGTGCTGTGCCTCAATGTAAAAATACGGCCACAAAAACACCTGAAAAGTTGTTTTTTAATGTGCCTAGAAACCCTACCATCAGAAAAAAAATGGACAAATGTTATGAGAATAGCACATCCTTTAGGACCGAACACGGTAGCATTTTGTTGTGAGGATCATTTCGATGTAAGTATTCAAATAATAATGACCTTCACTTGATAGGTCTTGGTTATTGCTAGTAAATGCTTTCTATTAGGCATGTAGGTACCTATCGAGTCGCACTGTTTAAGTAACTAACGATTCATTGAGCCTTTCCACGCTTAATGATCATTATAATTTCAAGAAGAAACAATACCTAATACCTACATATTTAACTAAAACTACTTCAGTGTAAATAAACATCCAAACTTGGGTAAAGTACCTATGTAATGTAGTTAAGTCGATGACCTGTCGTGAGTTCGTAAGTTTAGATACCTACCTATGTTTGCAGTAAATTTTAAAATGTTTATAATGCATATAAAGGTTAAAATATGGAATATGTTAACAAACGTTTTTATATTTTTACGATATTTGGAGCAAAAACTAAACACACGCAGAGCTGTTCAACTTTCATACTTTGCGCGCCGCAAATAATGGAATAAGTTTGATTATGAAGTGGAGCACTTTAATTTTTTTCGTGTTGTCGTATTTTTATGTATTACATAGTTGGTACATATTTTAAATATTGATGGAATACAAATTACGAGGTTCCTTATTTTTTTTATTTAAATAAGTTTGTATTTTGTTCTAGGTCGAAAACGATATGGAAAACTACGTGAAGTACAAACTAGTTTGTGGTCGCATCAGACTTAAAAAAAGATGTTTATGTAATTCACAATTTTAAAAGCAAAATTATCCAACGTTTATTCAACGAAATCAACGGAACTTCAATGACATTTGTTCAATGACAAGATTCTTTTTATTTTTTCTATAGACGTTACTAGTAGTAACGTATATCATACAGCCAAGTTCATAATGAACATAGTCACGGTCTTATTCCACAGAGAAAGATAAAGAAAGAAAAAAATAAACGAATTTAGCCGCGAAATGCGACCTTGTTTTAATGGCGTGTTTAAATAAATTTAATTTTAATTTTTTACTGGCTGCAATCAGCCACGTCACAGACGAGACCGAGAGGCTGAACCTATTCTTATCATGAGCAAATGAAACCCAGAAGTATTAATGTAATAAAATACCTAGGTTATAAAAATATTATCTTATTCTTATACCTACCTTTTCATTTTGACTCCGCGTATTTCAGCCGCGACAAAATCTTTGTTTCTTAGAAAATATTCCGCCACCATCATGTCACAGACTATTGGAAGGTTGTCAGATTGACCCTTTTGAAACCCTTCTTCCATCATTAAATACTTAAAAACACCAGAGCGAACGAGGGCAAACAACTCACCCGCGAAATATTAATACAAACGTATGATCGGCGCGCTGGAATGGTATGGCGGCACGGCCGCATGGAACGAATGACGTCACGCGCTACTCGCGGGCACGGGCGAGATTTTAGAAATGTACATAAATTTTTCCACGCTTATAACTTCGGTAATAGTGCACCGATCGATGTGAAATAAAAACTAGAATTATGTGTTTGGTCTAGACTTTTTACCTACGTACTTAAAAGTCTAACATTGTAACCTTGTTATCTTCTCCATTGCTTATATGTGTGCTCTCACGGCGACGCCGATCTTCGTACAAAATAAGGTTGACAGCCATTCTATAGTGTATTATAGTACCTATTCTATCAGTAATACCACCTAGTAAACAGTGTAGTGAAAACTTTATAATAATTTACAAAAAATCGTTTTATTAATAGAATTTTTATACTTAAACTACATAAACACCGGCATCTTGAACCACAACATTGCAACTTTCTGACAAGGGGTTTAATGGTGTTTTTACTCTTGGTCTTTTGGAATTACAATCGCGGTTCAGCTTGACTGCTAAGGCATTTACATCTTTCTTCAGTCGGTTATCACTGAAAAAATAAATTTAAGCATAAACACAAATGCACTTTAGTATTAAGGCAAAAATTACATCCCTTTTATATGACAAAAGTGAGCCCTAATTGGCCAGAATAACTATGTGTTAGTTATTAACTCCTAACACATAGCCGCAGCTAATAATGGTAACTACACTAAACACGTATTTCTTTTGAAAATTGTCAACAGTTGGAGGCGTGGTATAAACTAAGAAAGTAATAAGAAATAGTCTATTTGTGTAATTGATATCAATATGAAATTTTTTCGTATTGATTACGGTTTCGTAGCAGAGATCCTCGACATAGGTAAAAACGTTATATAATTTAGAAGAGGCCCGGCCTTGCTGTGTAATAGTGATCTCTTTATAGGTATATGATTATGTGGATCAAGATTAAAATGTTTTTATATATTTTTAAGCACAGAAATATTATAAATACTTACACATAATGTATACGACAGCAAAAAATGCAAACCCCTATAAAACATACACTTACACAGGATACAAACAAAATTACCGATATTATTACACCTTGAAAAACTCTTTGAACTTCTGAATGGATTTTTTCTGAAACAAAGAAAAATCCTCATTTATATAGATAATATGGATCTCTTTATTTTTTACAAGTTGATCTTAGCAAGTTCAGAATAACACATTGAATTTTTTATTTTATTTTAAATTTATATTTATTTAACTCCCATTAAATAACTTATATCGTGAGCGTCACTACTGCTGTATTTGCTGTATCATTGTTATAAGGTCTCTGAATTAGAGATTTACCGTCTGGAAAAAATAGGGTGTAAACGTGAACGGAGTAGACGCCTATTGTACTGATATTTTACAAAAAATAAAACAAAAGTTTGAATTAAATAAATAAATTAATTCAAATCGTATAATAATTACATTAATATCAAATTCAATATATATATATATATATATATATATATATATATATATATATATATATATATATATATATATACTATATACTGGTGCTACGCCTGGAAAAAATAGGGTTTAACATGTGAACGTAGTATTTAATAAGTTTGATTTGATAATTTCCTAAAATATACTTTATTACTAACTATTATTACTAACCAACCAATATTTATAACCAATACTTACCAACCAACCGGATTCTTATTGCTAAGAACATTTCTATTTTTTTTTTGCGCCCGAAGCAAATATGGGCAACCCTCCGGAAAGCGGGGGAGGGAGGTTGGGAATGCTCATAGCATACCACGCAGCCGGCTGCGTGGTTATATGGTGACTTTTACCCACTAAACCCAATCTTTTAGGAACTGGCTTAACGATCTTACTAGAGATCTCTAAGCCGTATACGAACGCGACCCTCCTTGGCAGAAAGGAGGGCGCAAACATTTCTACTAATAGTATTATTGATATAGTTTTTGCGATTCACGAGTGCGGTCGACCTTTGGATGTGGTTCGACATGCGTGCCTGGTAGAGGGGCCAGTCGCGACTCGCGGACGGACACCCGCTCCGCCACACACGCTCACTGTCACATAGTGCATGTATTTACATGTCACACAATCAAAGGTCGACCGCACTCGTGAATTTCAAGAACTATATTAGTGATTTATATAGTCACAATCATCATTGCCCTTTATGCAGCTTGCCCATGAATAAGTGACTCTCATTTTAGAGAGGGCATGCCACAATCCCATAAAATTAAAATGGCTCTTATCAATAAGTACAACTCTTGGCAGTGTAAGGATATCCACTACCTCATTTGAACCCGTGGTTTTTTTTTATAGGATAGGGTGACAAACGAGCACACAGTCCACCTGATGGTAAGTGGTTGCTGTGGCCCATAGACATCTACATCTGTCCTCGATTACGAATCAAGATGCAGATGCGTTGTCACCCGTGAGGACTAAGATGGAATGCCTCGTATCCAGTAAAAAGGGTCTTCGGTTCTCTACACTCACCAAACGGTGTCGTAAAAGTTGACGGAGGGAATCTGAAACAGCAGATGGGTAGCAGTATATCCATCCCATGAGTTAATCTATAAAAGAGGCCTAAGTTTAGCAGTTCAATTGTTGATAGGCTGTGATGGTATTAATAAGTAACAGCTTTTGGCCGCTGTCGCTGTACCCTCGCTTGTCTCACTTTGGTCATGTGGGGTTTTTCTTAGCAGCATAATATTACTACGAATTTTGTTGATGACCATAGGTTATGCTGGTCCACACATCAGGTATTTTGTTTTATTTATCGTGACAAATTCTTTATAGAATCAATTTATAAGTTTTGTCCCTGTTCTTTATGAAAACACTCTAGGTAATATTCTCTCCTCTTCATAAGAATGCATTTACTCCACAGTCTCCTGTCCTGTGCCTCTTCCGCCATTTGGCACATTCGGTCCGGTTCCCGCCAAAGCAGAGAGGAGAGGAGACGAAAGGAGATGTGCTGCAAAGCTGGCAGGTTATTTCCACCAAAGCGGAGATGAGAAGTGTAGCGGAGAGGAGATGTAAGTTTTGTATAGCAAAGATGTGAGCTGTGAGATTGAAACCAGTCAAGTTCTGTCTACGAAAGGAAGACGTCATATCGTTACAAGTGATATCTGAATTTGCTCGAGGAAGATGACACAATTAATTCTTTAATATTTAAATTATCGACGGCATCATAGATTGTGGATAAGAAACGATATAAAATGTCACAGTCATGGCGAATATGCCACACTGGTTCAAGAATTTGATGATGAAGAGTTTTCAAAAATCTTACAGGGTAACAAGGAATAACCGCCCGGCCGCCCGACTAGACACTTCTCCGCTCAGCTGCGCTGCTTGCTCGATCGCCGCACAAAACTCTATAGAAAAATGAGACATCTCCTCTCCTCTCTGCTTGATCCATTTCCAAAGAAGCTAAACGGAGAAGAGATGTGGAAATAACGGAATCAGAATGATTTATTCAAACACATCTCCTCTCGTCTCGTCTCCTCTCTACTTTAGTGGAAACCGGGCCTTAATCACGCAGCATTCCGTCGAAAATCTTACCGCCTCGATTACCGATCAAACATGATCTGACAGAAGGCGGTAAGATTATCGACATAACAAAAAAATTTATATGTAAACTATGTACCTAAATTAATTTACCTTGCGTATCATATTTTGCTGTCAGTGTCTTTAAGAGCATCTTGATGTTAATTACACAATCGTGAGTTGTTTCGTTATAGAACGAACCACTGTAAAAATTATAATGTTTAGTGATTAATAATAATTAGATTTTTTATAAATACGTGTCAGTGTAAAAGAACAACATATTTTTTTCATATTTGTGATTTCACTAAGAAATAACAATAATAAATAAAATATTGAAATTTCACCAACAACAATCACATGTATAAATTATACCAAATATTCTCATATTGCAGTTTAGTCATGGCAATAACAATGACGTCAGTAGTCGATAGATAAGTTTAAGAAAATGAAATATGAGTGAATTTTCTTTCTTTTACTTAGTTATGCTAAGCCGGAATAACTTGATTCAAGCTTCACCATATATATAGTAGGTATATAAATATCATTTGCAAAACGTCTAATAATTGAAATAAATATTTTTATTTTATAGTAGGTATATTTGTGCAAAAACGTCATTTTTATGCCTACCAAAAATAAAAAAAAATGTTTAATATTAACTTACACGGTGTTATTACAACCAATGTTTTCTGAAATACAGTCTCCTAATTCTCCACAGTCACTTGTACCAGCAGATAACTGCAAAAATAGTTATTTGCATTATTTATCGGATTTTTTTAATTTTATAACGGAGTGTTTAAAAGTATATAAAATATTATACATACGTCGTTGTTACCGAATGAGGCAGTACCTACAATACGAATAAATATTGTAGTAATAAAAATTCAAAATTTTTAAACAAATTAACGTTTCAAAAAAGAATTATAAGTACTTACAAGCCGTTAAACACAAACAAATTAAAAGTAATAACATCATTTTAAATTGCTAAAATATTTTTAAACACAGCCGCAATACTTAATTAACCTAAATATTGTAAACTGAAATTCAATATTCACTTTAGGAATGAACTGCAGGTATTAGTAATAGTGAAAATACAAGATCTTAATATTTTAAGATGCATAAGAAGAGTTCTTATTCATGTACTCGTAATTCACAACGAAAGATAATTTCTGTACATTGGCTACAGTACTAAAATAGATTGACCTCCAAACATTAATAGTGATTTTCATCATACGTTGTACTTTAGTTTCTTTCATATTTATTTATGAAATTCTTTAAGATAAGAATAAAGATTTTTTAAATAATCGCTAGCTTTTAAATAATAGTGAAATTGTATTGTATTTAAATTTATAAGATTATTAAAATAACTTCAACATTATTAGGAAGAGATAATTTTATTTCTCACTCTCAATTCTTAATATTAATATTCCTATGTAAATAAAAATAAGTTTTTAAACGAGTTTTCTACATAAACTATTTACAATTGTTCAGATTGTTTATGAAAAAGTTAATGAATTTTCAGATTTATTGTAAAAAGGAACGTAGTCCTAAAAGAAAAAGTTATTTCGGCACTTTAAATATCATTGCCATACTATGTACATATAGGTAGGTATATTTATACTGCTACCAGTAATTACATACATACGTATGCACTGCTCATGGAGGGTCTTGTTCTTCAAGAAAGGCGACAACGCTCTCTTGAAGAACTACAGACCGATTTCCCTTCTGAGCCGCGTATACGTGCTGTTTTCGAGAGTCGAATCGTCTCGCACGCAGACTCGACAACTTTCAGCTTCCCGAACAGGCTGGTTTCCGAAAAGGCTTCAGTACCATAGACCACTTACATGCACTTCTGCGGGTGCAGCAGATTGTACAGAAGACCAAAGAATACAATCAAGCACTTTGCCTGGCATATGTGGACTATGAGAAAGCCTTTGATTCCGTCGAAATTTGGGCGGTGCTACAGTCCCTTCAGCGTTGCCAGGTGGACTGTCGGTACATATTGAAGTGCTGAAGTGTTTGTGCAATAGGGCTACGACGGCTATCCGAGTACAGAACCAAACCTCACCAATATCCTGCAACACTACGCTCCAATCTGGGACGAGCCGTGAAGTAGAGGGCACGAACCAGGGAGGGGAAAAGAAAAAGTTCGCTAGGCCTTATAAGCTTAGTGGGGCAGCAAGGAAGAGGTACCGACGGCTGATAGCAGCTGAGATAGGATCCGACGAGGCCCTTTCTCTCTCTGCCAGAAGCCCTAGGACGAAATGCCTCTGCCCAAACCTCCCCCAGTTCCGAAGGCAAAAAAACGCAGTCGGTCTGAGGAAGAGTCCCCCAAAAACCAGCTTAGAAAGCCTGTGAAGCTGGCAACGGGGGAGAAGAAGCTCAGTTTCGGTGCTGTAGCTGGTTCCGCGCATGTGGGAATTCGCAATTCGAATCCCATGAGTGTGGACCAGATGCGGCTGGTCCGGTCCGGTCCGGTCCGGTCTAATATTTAATAGTAGAATTCGATTATTTTCGCGGTATCTTTGATTTCGAAGTATTTATTAGCTTTTAAAAGGTGTGATTAAATATGGTGACATGTACAATATACCTGAATGCAGTTAATCGAGAAGAGAAAATCTACAAAATTAAACATTTTACACGTAAGTACAAGTTTAGCACTCTAAGTGTAATATTTTAGAACTGGTACAAGTGTTTTATACACAAATGTATAGGGAAAAATATCGCATTTTATTACAATTATGCTCAACATGCGTAAGAATTATAAAAACAATTTTAACAAATACATGAATTCCCGCGATTGCTGATCTAATTTTTGTAGAGATTGACACTATCGATGTCATCTTATCGATAATAATATGTTTATAACAGGCAAAGGCATATCTTTGTATGCAGCCTCTTATAACTTTGTTTTTTGAATTTTCTATATTTAATTTTTGACATTATAGTAAACACATATAGTGAGATAAATTAAACTCTTATAATGTTTCAGATTTCCAAAAAATACTGAGGTTAAACAAAAAAGATTAAAAATGATAAATAGAGAAGACTGGGTTCCCAAAAAATATACAACTATATGTAGCAAGCACTTTGAAGAAAAATGTTTTTCTCATATTATTTATGACCGTGCGTAGTTTCTCAATTATATATATTTACTGTACATATGGTCATTTTGTTTGCGCATGTTCAAATGTGTACAAATTGTTGTCATCATCCTTGTGATGTTTTTTTTAACGAAAGTAATAAAGGAACTTACAGTGTCACTTGATTTGAAGAACTACTGCAGTAAGCCAAATATGGTCACCTACAGTCAACTTCAAACAAAAAAAACCTACAAAATTGTTTTCACCCATGAAGATTAAGGTAAAATGCCTTACAGCTTATAATTATACCGGTTCTCTATACTCAATAGGCGGGAATGCGCCAGTGTAATCACTGCTGCTTAGTGGCAGAAATAGGTAAAAGGGTGATTAAAACCTCATTTTATTAATTTTACTCATAGATAAGTGCATAATATATATGTAGAGAGATGTTATAATTGCAATGTATGGGGTTATTACATAAAAGGCTTTTGGAATAGAATAGAATCACTTTTGTTCAATATAGTACTATGACCACTGGTTTGAAGAAAACCTCTGTCCAGGAAAGAACCAGCAATAAACCCAGCGGGAGATTTCTTTTCAATAGAATTAAATTTATGATATCTAAAATCATGAAATGGACTGATTACATTGATAAGAATAGAACTAATCAACTATAAATTGTACTGAAACTAATTTAATAGCTGAGGATAATAATTAATTCGATTCCGCGCATTAATTATTCGAAGAGTTGAGGTTGAGCTAGTAGCGGAGTACAACAAGACCACCGAGCTACGCGGGAGCCAAGACTGCCTTAACGTCGGCCGCTCCGGTATTTTTAGGAACATAATGGCGGCATGAGGCGACGTACGAGGAGCGGTGGTCAAGGCAAGAGATTGACCTTATATAAGCACAATAGACCTTTTATTCAATCAAATATCGCAATCGATTAGTTTTATTTAGAAGTTATTGATTTTTTGTATACATAAGAAATTAAACGAAATAGATTTACAAAAATAGTGAATTTTCTCGTTAATAATCGAGATTCCGACTTTATTAATAAAAAACTAATCAAATTTTATTTTCTCAGTTAAAAGACATGATTTACTTAAATGTCAGTTATCTATTTACGTCTACTTGAGTAACAACTGTTTGAAAAAATTTAAAACCTTACAAAATTGAAAATAAGTATATTTGTATGACTTAATTTCTATCGATTTAAATAAAAATCGATTAAACAACACCCTTGGGCACGCGTATTGGACGTCCCTTTTTTGTTACTTCGTAAAGCTTCGTGCTTATTTGACAATTCTCGGTACACGGTAATATGTTTCAGTCACACGTTAGCATTGGTGTAGTGTTCGAGTCGCTATATCTGTCTTGAGCACAGTCGGTTACAAAAGTTTTCGTTGTTACTGTTGTTAAATGTTATCAATATTGTTAGGTTTTTCCTTAGTGTTAAGTTTGTTTTATTTGTGTCATTTGCAAGTGTCAGTTGGCGCTTATATTATTCGCCAAATATGCCACAAAAACATAATAGTGTGTTAAATTGCCAGGCGAGAAAAATTAGTAAGTGAGTATATGAAAAAGAAAACGAAGAAGGCGTAAAAGATGTAGATAAAGTTTATTTTATTTAAGAGTTGCCAACGCAACTGGTGTGTGCTAACGCACAGTACAGCGGATCGCAACTAAAGGTTATATTCGGGTTTTTTTAATAGGATAGTGTGGTAAACGAGCCCACAGTCCACCTGATGGTAAGTGGTTGCTGCGGCCCATAGACATCTACATCTATCCTCGATTACAAATCAAAATGCAGATGCGTTGTCACCCGTGAGGACTAAGAAGGAATGCCTCCTTTCTAGTAAAAAGGGTCTCCAGTTCTCTATATTCACCATTCTAAACACAACAGCATTAAGCTACTATTTTATCCGGTAACCAGTAACTGGGGTGATACCACGAACTCACAGAATACCGGCGTGAAGTGGAAGCTCTGCTTCCGCGTTTCGTCTGGTGAGTGTAGGTGGCCGGAGGCCCAATAGCCCCCCCCCCCCCCCCCTTAACATGGTAGTGGAATTAAGTGAAGATCTATCCCAGAAGGGTACCAGCACCCTGGAGAATCCGTCGCTGAGCATCCATGACTAAGTTACTCTACTCCTGAGCGTGTGTGCTAAATTCTGCTCAAGACAACAACTGCTCGGGGCAAGCTAAGCAACAAGACCAAATCAACCCCTGCCACGCTATCCGTGAATTTCTGCAATATTAACACCGTTCACTACTATCTCTGTGACGGCGAGGCTGGCTCTACTCTTTCTGACCGAGACGCAGGTGTTCTCCGGCTGATGCTTCGTATCTCTCCTACCCGGGATACAAACTGGAACACTCCTTTGTGCCTCGGGCTGGAGTTTGCGTATACGTCAGAGAGGACATCTGTTCTCAACGCCTCGGCAGTCTTGAAGGTTCGGACCTGTCCGTGCTTTAGCTACGAGTAGAGAGCGACGACCATCCGCGCGTCTACGGGTGCCTCTATAGGTCCCATAGCGGTAATGCCGAAACAGACCGAGTCTTTGACCACGTCCAAATGGCTACTGATTCATTCCTACAGCAGATCCCTCCGCAGAGATCGTGATCCTCGGCGATTTTAACGCCCACCACGCCGAATGGCACGGTTCACGTTCAACCGATCATGCGGGGAGATCTGTTCATGATTTTGCCTTGGCATATGGTCTGACACGACCGATTACTTCGCCTACATGGATTCCAGATGTGGAGGATCATGCACCTTCCCTGTTGGTTCGGGTAATTAGATTTGGACCTTCTGCTGATCTCTCATCCGGACGGATATCAGATTTCCGTCAACGCCTCTTTAGGCTCCTCGGACCATTGTCTTGTCCGGAG